CCTGTCCTCTTGTCAGGCCTGTCCGAGGCCTGCTTCGAGGCAGAAAATCTTGTTTCTTCACTCGAGGTGACCCCTACAACTGGCTAGAATGTTTGAATTACAAGAGCTGCTGCAGAGATTTTTCTGAAAAAAGAAGTCACCACTGGCAGCACATTTCATTGACAAGGAATGGGTTACAAAATGTATTACGACGTATTCAGCCTGCCCATTTAACTTAATCTGTCCCTTCAGGGGGAAATGACAACAATCTTTAAGGTGCATGGATTATTGATGATGGATTATTGCATATTTGACATTTCAAACATTGGCTGGAATTTTAGAAGTGATGCAGCCTGAACAGTCATTCTCTCAGCTAGTGCACTATCACCTACCTTTGCTTTTAAAAGAGTTTGAGCTCCACTTCTCAACCCTAAAAAACCCAAGAATTGACAAGGAATCTCGCTTTTTACAAAACCTTCTGATTCTCATCTCGTTACAGAAATGTACTGGACCATCAAAGGGCACTTTTCAAATAAAACAGGTCTACATCATACTCTTTATTATGTTAATTCTAATAATATTCAATCAATTAGTGATCCTACATGCCCACTCTGGATTTGTGGGCTCATGGCTGCTGCAGGATGGATCTGTATCTTGGTTCTGACTCTGAGAAGCTACAAGACAGTTCCTCAGTTATGTGTTAAATTATATAATGTTATGTTAAGTGCCACAATGACACATTATTTATTGACTTGATTATTAACTAACTTGAACAGTGGTTTGCAGACACTGTTTCATAGTCATCAAACACGACCTCCTTTTACCGAATAAGTTGCTAATTTTTGCACATTTAGCTGTGTKAGTTTCCAGAGCTTTCTTCTTTGTAATTCTTACTTTCTCAATGCCACGCTTGCTCTTTCCATCTTTCAAACACTACTGACCACGTGAGCCAACGTGTTACATCAGGGTGCATAACAAAAACAAAGAAGAAAAAGAAATAAAAAGACGAGAGCTGCCCGCTAGAGCTAGAGGCAGCCCTGGGGCTATGGGAGGCCATTGTAACATATTACAGGCCGGCAATACAGGGAAAGCAGTAGCAGTGATCTGATCAATAACCATCMGCCCTTGCAGCCCAAACGTCAGACTGGCCCACCAGGAAAAGRTACGGTCCTCCCGATTAGTCACGCCGGGCCTGCCTCCCAATAAACTTCATTTTGGAAATTCTAACCACTCACCTTTACTCACTATGTTTACTTTATATACTCATGTATATCTTAAATCAGAAATTTCATTTGGATACTTTAAGTACAGTAAATGTCAGATACTTTAAGACTTTTACTCAAACTTGTCCAGACATGTCAATTTTCATTTCAAATGAACTCCAGCAGATTAAATTATACATTTGGTGAATGGCTGCCAAGATGGATATGTTGTGAGTCAATGTCAGTAAAGAAATAATGTAAGTTTTACACACTATATTAAAAATGACCCAAAACCCACATTTTATTGACTAATACACATACGTAAACTTGTTTCTAATGACTTTTAGAGCTCATTGTGTGTTATGTTAACATTTAATAATACTAGTAGATGAGAAAAAGGTGAAGCTAAATACAAAAATAAACATCGATGTCATTATGCTGAATCAACTGTATTACATAAATCAAATTTCAATTATTAGGTATGTCAAAAATAATTATTAATAAAAATAAATCTTTAATATAATTGTTTGCCTCTGTTTTTAATTTCTGATTTAGTCTCCGAGCCTGAGGAAGTGTCTGACTGGTCCTTCAATGAAAACTGTCTCTTCTGCTGCTTGAGAAGTGAGAAAACCAAGGTAGGCTGCCTCAAAACACTTTTCTTTGTATATATATATATATA